TCACTGCAACCTCTGCCTTCTGGGTTCAAGCAATTCTCCTGCCTCAGCCTCCCGAGTAGCTGGGGACTACAGGCACGCACCACCATGCCCAGCTAATTTTTGTATTTTTAGTAGAGACGGGGTTTAACCTTGTTGTCCAGGATGGTCTTGATCTCTTGACCTCGTGATCCATCCGCCGTGACCTCCCAAAGTGCTGGGATTATAGGCGTGAGCCACCGAACCCGGCCATTAAGAGGGTGTTACTTCACCCACAGCAGTTCCCGCCCAGCGAGATGCTGCACTCTCCAATTTACAGTCACTTCAATCCTTCCGCAATGCCTAGATGGCAAAGGCTTTTCCATTCAGCCTTATGTGGCTGTTTCTAATTCCAACTAGCCCTACAAAATGCTTGACACATGAGGCCCCTCCTTCTAATGGGCCCAGTACTCCCACCTTTCACAACTGAGGAGTCCAGTTGGATCCCTCTACACACACACACACACACACACACACACACACACACACACACAAAAGCTCTCCTTCCTCCCCTCAAATCGAAACCATAAGCAAAAAGCTTCCAAGGTTAGTTACAAAGGGGGAGGGGGGGAGAGAGAGAGAGTGCGCCAAGTTCAAAAGCGCTGAATCTGGCACAGGTGTGTGATCAGGCCATGCTTCCACCTAGAGGAGGTGGGCTATCTTCCCCGGGATCAATCCTACCATATTTCTGTTGTTAAGATGTTCCAAGTACCCATTCCTTCTTGATGTTCAGCCACTGGGTGGATCCACACTGCAGGGGCCTTCCTGCTCCACTCTGGCGAGGCTTTCCATCAGGCAAAAACGTGCCCGGGAACTGCGTCACCCCAGTGGGTGGGAGCCCCCTGCAGGGATGCTCTAAAGGGCTAGGCAAACCACCTGAGAGGCTCTCTCCTGCCATCTGCCAACCCAGCTTGTCTAACAAAGGAAGGTTCTGCCTTTATATAGGCTTACGCTCTAGATATTATGCACGAAAGAATCTCAGGTTTACAGCCTTAGAAATCATGAGTGAAAGGGTTTTGGATTGACAGCTTTAAGAATCACATGTGAAAAGGTTTCAGGTTTACAGTTTTAGAAATCATATATGAAGGGATTTCAGGTTTACACTTTTAGGAATCACATTTGAAAAGGTTCTGATCTCTGGATGGAGGAGTGGGGTGGGGGTTTGATCTTGTTTAAGTAAAAACACCGTCTTCTGGAGAGATTCCCCCACACCAAGCCTGCCATCTACAGGAAGGTGATTCAGGAGGCGCCAGTCGGCCAGGCTTTTCTCCTATTGAAATGCACTGTGGAAGCTGAGGAGGAGGTGATCCCAGATGCCTGGGTCTCCTTCCTCACTATTATTTTCTGTCTAACTCTCATCAAATTCACTGCACTCATTGGCTTTCACACGCCCTGCTTTTGTTTAAGTTGCTGGTTTACACTTTTCCTCCAGGCAATTACAGCTAATATTTCACTCTTAATCTGGCTCCCATTCTCTGCTCATATTTAATCTTGTTAATGAAAGTAAGTGGTTGCTTATAGACACTGCATGCTTCCTCATACACCATAAAAACAAAAGCTCTCCCTCCACACAGTTACCCTGATACTATCTTTCTCCTTCTCTTATTTAAACCCTGAGTTTTTCCTATTAATCTCTCAATTCCTACAAAACCATATACAAGCAATAACCAATCAGTCAACACAACACATGCTCCTTCTAACAATCCCACAATATTACCCCTTGCCCCAAAATCTCCCAGAAGTTAAAATTCTTTCTCATTTTTAGGTTTCCACCCTGCCCCCAATCCTGCTCGAAGAAGCCTTGAGAAACTTTGTCCCCACTCCCTAAAACCTGTTATCACCCCCTCTTCTCTAATTCTTTCTCTCTCTATATTAAAAATAACAGTATATCACTTTTCCATATGCAAGCCTGGAGTCCGAAAGTCTGAAGTCCTGCCTGTTCCGGCTAATATCTCCCGCCCCTCCAAATGGGTTCGCCGTTGTCCCTAATCACCCAGCCCATCGGAGCTCCCCCGACATGCCCCTCACGAAACCCTGCCATCTTAACTGTTCTTATGATAATGTAAATATCTCTCACCCAACCCTGCCATCATAACTGAACATGTGGTCACGTATACTCCTTGCCCCTAACCCCACCACTGTAACTAAACTTACTCTGCAACACCCCCATCCCCCAAAACCTATAAAACCGACTCCTATCCTGCTGCCCTTTTCTAATGCCCTTTTCGGCCTTAGCCCACCTGCACACAGGTAAATAAACAGCCATGCTGTTCACACAAAGCCTGTTTAAAAAGTCTCTTCATTCAAAGCGCACATTTTTCAACAGGAACCTCCTAGAGACTTGTTGAACGGCTTTGACAAAAATGCTGATAGTGATATGAACAGTAAGGTCCCGGCTGAGGTGGCCTCAGATGCAGATGACGAACTTGCTGGGAACTGGAGCAAAGGTGACTCTTGTTATGTTTTAGCAAAGAGACTGGTGGCATTTTGCCCCTACTCTAGAGATTAGAGGAACTTTGAACTTGAGAGAGATTATTTAGGGTATCTGGTGGAAGGAATTTCTAAGCAGCAAAGCATTCAAAGGTTGACTTGGGTGCTGCTAAAAGCATTCCATTTTAAAAGAGAAACAGAGCATAAAACTTCACAAAATTTGCAGCCTGAGGATGCAGTAGAAAAGAAAAACCCATTTTTGGGGGAGAAACTCAAGCTGGCTACAGAAATTTGCATAAGTAACAAGGAGCCAAACGTTGATCCCCAAGACAATGGGGGAAAATGTCTCCAGGGCACGACAGAGGTCTTCATGGCAGCCCCTCCTATCATAGGAGGGAAAAACGGTTTAATGGGTGGGGCCCAAGGTCCCCATGCTGTGTGTAGCCTACAGACTTAGTGACCTGCATCCCACCTCCTCCCACTGTTTCTGAAAGGGGCCCAGATACAGCTTAGCCCATGACTCCAGAGGGTGCAACCTTTAAACCTTGGCAGCTTCCATGTGGTTTTGATCCTGCAGATGCACAAAAGTCAAGAATGGAGCTTTGGGAACCTCCACCTAGATTTCAGATGTATTGGATGTATTCAGTGCTTGGATGTTGGGGGAAACAGCAGTGGAGGAAGGGCTGACAGAGTGCCTACATAAAACGGTTACAAGTACTGGGAACAGTAAACCGCGGCTAACTGCGTCAGGCCTCTGGGCAGGCAAACTTCCCTAAGCCTTCATGTTCCAGGTGCAGTGACCTTGCTCTGTTACAGCACATAACATGCTCAAGGACTTAAGACCCCTTCTGTAGCATTACAAAGCAACCAGACTTGTAGGCTCCTTGTGAGACTCACTCCCTCCAGCTGCGCCTAGAATGCAATCTATAGATAACCACATGCTTCTGCTCTTCAAAGTTTCCCACAAAGCCACACTGCTAACAATCTTTAGAATGATGCACCAGTTCCTGTTCACCAAAGATTGCTTCACTGTCATGCCATCCCCTCCCCACTATCACCTCACCTTCACCCCACCCTCTGCTGACTGCTTAAAGTGATTGTAACCAATAAATACTGTGGGACCTAACCTCAGGGCCTTCACTGCCTCCATTACAAGTGACAGTTCCCTGGTCTCACTTTCATTATTATTATTATTTTTTTTTTTTGAGACAGAGTCTTGCTCTACTGCCAGGCTGGAATGCAGTGGCGCAATCTCGGCTCACTGCAACCTCCACCTCCTGGGTTCAAGCGATTCTTCCACCTCAGCCTCCTGAGTAGCTGACACCACAGGCACGTGCCACCATGCCCGGCTATTTTTTGTATTTTTAGTAGAGACGGGGTTTCACCATGTTGGCCAGGATGGTCTCGCTCTCTTGACCTCGTGATCCACCCGCCTCGGCCTCCCAAAGCACTGGGATTACAGGCGTGAGCCACCATGCCCAGCCCCACTTTCATTCTTAATCTCTCTTTTTTCTCATTCCTTTGTCACCACCGAACTCAGGGTACCCACAGGTGGGGTGTGGGGGCTGGCACCCTACACCTGAATGCCCAGGCAAAAGTTTGCTGCAGGGGCAGGGCCCTCATGGAGAACCTCTGCTAGGACAGTGTGGAGGGGAAATGTGGGGCTGAAGCCCCCTCACAGAGTCCCTACTAGGGTACCACCTGATGGAGCTGTGAGAAGAGGACCACCATGCTCCAGAGAATGGCAGATCCACCAACAGCTTGCACTTTGCACCTGGAAAAGCCACAGACACTCAATGCCAGACTGTGGAAGCAGCCAGGAGGGGACATATACCCTGCAAAGCCACAGGGACAGGCTGCCCAAGATATGGGGACCTACCTCTTCATCAGCATGACCCAAATGTGAGACATAGAGTCAAAGGAGATCATTTTGGAGCTTTAGAATTTGACTGTCCCACTGAATTTAGGACTTGCTTGGGCCCTGTAACTCCTTTGTTTTGGCCAATTTCTCTCATTTGGAATGGTTGTATTTACCCAATACCTGTACCCCCATTGTATTTAGGAAGTAACTAGCTTGCTTTTGATTTTACAGGCTCGTAGGTGGAAGGGCTTTGCCTTGTCTCAGTTGAGACTTTGGACTGTAGACTTTTGGGTTAATGCTGAAATGAGGAAAGACTTTAGAGGATTGTTGGGAAGGGTTGGTTTTGAAATGAAGACATGAGATTTGGAGGGGCAAGGGGCAGAATGATATGGTTTGGCTCTGTGTCCCCACCCAAATCTCATCTTGAATTGTACTCCCACAGTTCTTACCTGTTGTGGGAGGGACCCAATGGGAGATAATTTGAATCATGGGGGTGGTTTCCCCATACTGTTCTTGTGGTATTAAATAAGGCTCACAAGATCTGATGGTTTTATCAGGAGTTTCTGCATTTGTATCTTCCTCATTTTCTCTTGTCTCTGCCATGTAAAAAGTGCCTTTCACCTCCTGCCATGATTCTGAGGCCTCCTCAGGCATGTGGAATTGTAATTCCAATTAAACTTCTTTTTCTTCCCAGACTCGAGTATGTCTTCATCAGCAGCTTGAAAACAGACTAATACAGCTGGCTTAATAGATTGAATTGAAAATTGTTGCCTCCTTTAAATGGTATGTGATGTTATTTCTGAATTATATGTTTAATACAATTCATCAGTAAAGCCTTCTGGACCTGGAGTTTCCTAGATGAGAAGGATTTTGATTGCAAATCCAATTTCTAAAATCAATAAATGACTGACCACATTTTTTATCTCTTCTCAGGTCAGTTTTCATAAGTTTTCTCTCTCAAGGAAATTGTTCATTTGTTTGCCAAACTTATTGACATGAGATTATCAGTATTTCTTTTTGAGATCTAGAGTGTGCACTGACATTCTATCTTTCATTCCTGATCTTGTTAATGTGTATCTTTTTTTCTTGATCAATCTAGCTAGAAATGTTTAAAGTATACTGATTTTTCTGCCATAGAACCAATATTTGGGTTCATTAATTTTCTCTATCTTTCTGCTTCATTTTTTTTCTATTTCATTATTATTTCCTTTCTTCTGCGTGCTTTGGTTTAATTTGTTCTTTGTTTCTCATAGCAGAAACTAATTTACTAATTTGAGACCTACCTTCTCTCTTAATAGAGGCATTTAAGGATATCAGTTTTTTCTCTATCACTACTTCAACTACATTTGATATGTTGTATTTCATCATCCTTCAGAAAACAGAAGATTTTCTAATTTCTCTTGTGATTTCCTCTTTGAATAAATTGTCATTTCAAATTTTGATGTTTAATTTCCAGTACTTGGTATTTTCATGATTGTCTCTCCTAGTCAATCTGGGCAGTAATTGTATAATACCATAGTCTATGTGGCAAACAACAGAACTCTATTTCTCACAGTTCTGGAGGCTGGGACATCAAGGATGAAGACCTGGGAAGAGTCAGTGTACAGTGAGGGCTGCTTCCTGATTCATGAATGTTGCCTTTTCTTGGTGTCCTCACATGGTGGAAGGAGCAAGGAGCTCTCTGGGGTCCCTTTTATAAGGACATTCATTTCACTAATGAGGATTTTGCCTTCATTGCATGATCACTTCCTAATGGCTCTACCTCCATCACAGTAGAGATTAGATTTCAATTACAAGTTTAAGGGTGACAAAAGAATTCAGTCCCACAGGATTATCTTGTTGTTACAGATTTCTAATGTATTTCCAGTATGGCCAGAAAATATATTCTGTATGATTTCAATGTTTTCAATGTTTTTTTGTCTTATGACCTGAAATGTGGTTTCTCCTGGTAAATGTATATATTTGAGATAATATGTATTTTTCATTGATGTGCCTACATATATAAATAAATTAAGTCTGGGTGCTTGATAACGTTTTTCAATTTTCTATGTCTTTGCTAAATTTTTCTTAGTTTTTGTATTTATAGCTGAAAGAAAGCTTTAAAATGTCTAATCACATTCATAGAATTCTCTACTTCTCTCTGTAATTTTGTCAATTTTTCTTCATGAACTCTGAAGACTTGCTATTGGACCCATTTTGGTTGCATTTCTTTCTGTTGAATTTACCCTTTTGTTATTATGAAGCCCCACTTTTTCTCTCTGGTAATATCTATTATTTGAAAATCTTTTACTGGTATAAAATAACCATTTCAATTCCCTTATGCTTACTGTTTGTATGGCATTCCTTTTTCCATCAATTTTTACTTATCTGTTCTTTCATATGGAAATTGCATGTTGCGCATTACATGCAGATGTGTGTTCACTGCAACACTAGTCACAATAGCAGACATGGAATCAACTTAAATGCCCACCAATGGTAGACTGAATAAAGAAAATGTGGCACATATGCACCACAGAACACTATGCAGACATAAAAAAGAATGAGATCATGTACTTTGCAGGAACGTGGATGGAGCTAGAGGGCATCATCCTTTGCTAACTAAGGCAGAAACAGAAAACCAATTACCACATGTTCTCACTTATGAGTGGGAGCTAATTGATGAGAACATAGAGGGGAACAACACACACTGGGGCCTACTTGAAGGTGGAGGGTGGGAGGAGGGAGAGGATCAAGAAAAATAATGAATGGGTGCTAAGCTTAATATAGATGGGTACTAATGGGTACAGAAAGTTTATATGACAAACTCCCATAATACAAATTTACCTATATAAAAAACCTGCGCATGTACCCTGAACTAAAAATAAAAGTTAAATTAAAAAAAAAAAAACTCATGTCTTGAAAAGAGCATGTGGTTGGGTTATTTTTTTAATCCACTCACAGAATCTCTGCCCTTAATTGGAGTGTTGCTTTATATAGGTTTTCGTCATTATTAATATGATAGATTTTAGGTCTACAGTGTTATTGTCTCAGCTTTTGTTTCCGTATTCCTGTTGTCCTGACCAATGATTTCTCATCAGAAACCACAGAAACAAAATAAAGTAGAATAACATCCTTAAAAGTGCTGGAAGAAAAAATGTCAACTAAGAATTCTATATCAAGTACAGATGTCCTTCAAGATAAAGGCAAAATAAGGAGATATTTCAGGTAAAAGAAAATTAACAGAATTTGCCACCAGCAGATGTGTACAATAAAAATTGGTAAAGAAAAATTTTCAAGCTAAAAGCAAATGATACCAGGTGGAAAATGAGATTATCAGAAAAGATGAAGATGGTCAGAAGTGGTAAATTTTAAGTGCAAAAGGCTTTCTTACTCCCCTCACCCCATTTAATCTTACTCTATATACATAGAACTGTTTAAGGGTAAAATAAGAAGGCTTTCTTGTGGAGCTTATAACCTGTGTAGATACATCACATATAATATCTATAGCATAAAAGATGGACATTGCATAGAGAATAAATGGTTGCAAGATTTCTATAAATATGTGTGTGTGTGTGTGTGTGTGTGAACTAGTACATTATTAACTGAAAGTGGGCTGTGAAATGTTAAGAATGAGTTAAGTTCTGAAGGAAATCAAAACACAAAAAAATTCAAAAGATCAACAAATTCAGGAAATGGTTTTTTGAAAACGAATAATAGTATAGATAGGCTGATTGCTAGATTAATAAGGAAGAAAAGAGGCAATCCCAATAAGCACAATTAGAAATGAGAAAGAGATGTTACCACTGACTTTGCGGAAATACAAATAACCATCAGAAGCTACTAGGAACACCTGTATGCACACAAACTGGAAAACCTAGAAGAGATAGATAAATCCCTGGAAACATACACCCTCCCAAGACTGAACCAGGAAGAAATTGATTCCTGAAAAGGACCAATAGTGAACTCCAAAATCGAATCTGTAATAAATAGCCTACAAAAAAAAAAAAAAGCCCTGAACTTGATGGATTCACAGCTGAATTCTACCAGATAAATGAAGAAGAGCTCATACCATTCCTACTGAAACTATTCCAAAAAATTGAAGAGGCCAGCATCATCCTGATACTGGCAGAGACAAAACAAAACAAAACAAGGTAACTTCAGGTCAATATGTTTGTTGAACACTGATGCAATAAACCTGAACAAAGTACTTGCAAACCAAATCCAGCAACCCATCAAAAATCGAATCCACCATGATCAAGTAGGCTTCATATCCAAGATATCAGATTGGTTCAACATGTGCAAATCAATAAATGTGATTCATCACATACATAGAATTAAAGACAAAAACCGTATGATTATCTTAATAGATACAGAAAAGGCTTTTGATAAAATTCATCATTCCTTTATGTTAAAAACTCTCAATAAACTAGGTATTGAAGGAACATACCTCAAAATAACAAGAGCCATCTATGACAAACTGACAGCCAACATAATACCAAATGGGGGAAGCATTCCCCTTGTAAACTAGCACAAGACAAGGATGCCTTCTCTTACCACTCGTATTCAACAGAGTACTGGAAGTCCTGGCCAGAGCAATAAAGCAAGAAAAAGAAATAGAGGGCATCTAAACAGGAAGAGGGGAAGTCAAGCTACCCCTGTTTGTAGATGACTACCAGCAAATGTTCCCTTAAGGCCCACAGGCTCTTATATCAGCTGGTAGTGAATGCTGCCTACTAGTCTTTAATGGATTAAAATGTGTAATATGTTTCACTTGTGTATTAGTCTGTTTTCACACTGATGGTAAAGATATACTCGAGACTGTGCAATTTACAAAAGAAAGAGGTTTAATGGACTTAACAGTTCCACATGGCTGGGGAGGCCTCAGAATCATGGTGGGAGGCAAGGAGGAGCCAGTCTCATCTCACGTGGATGGCAGCAGGCAAGGAGAGAGCGCTCATGCAGGAAAACTCCCATTTCTATAAAACCATCAGCTCTCATGAGACTCATTCACTATCACGAACAGCACAGGAAAGACCCACCCAATAATTCAATCACCTCCCACCAGGTTCCTCTCATGACAGGTGGGAATTGTAGGAGTTACAATTGAAGATGAGATTTGAGTGGGGACACAGCCACACCACATCAACTTGTAAATTACTACAAAACTTTCAACACTTAGCCACTCTGCCTCCTCAGGAAGGTTGGGACCGCAGACCTGTGTGTTAGACATTGATGTAGAGTTATTCCCAATGAGAATGGGACCTACCAGACCTGGACGGCCACCAAGATTCACTGAGGAGAGGAGCAGAGGGTCATCTGCTATGTGGGACACAACAGGCATCACAACACTCACCCTGTGCCCTCTGATGAACCTGGGGCGACCCTCAGGGATTCTGATCTAAAAAGCATCAGGCCAGGGTGGGGACAGCAGAGATAACTGGAGCTCTGGGTACGCAGTGTGCAACAGGGCCTTTTTGTTGTTGTTCAGGGAAAGACCTGGTGCTTCAGAGTCTATGGCAGCTGTTTCGTATGTTGCTGTTGCTGCTGCTGCTGCAGCTTTGGCTGCATTATTATTATTCTCTGTGTCCTTTGGTGCAAGAAAAAGCTGTCAGCTACAGAGGACCCAGGTGAGAAACTGGGGCAGTGGCTGGAGATGGGAAGGCTCCTGTCTGGGTAGTAGGGTCCCCTCATTGTTCCTGCACAGATAGGCATGTAGGTGACAAGGCTTCTGGAACAGGGGTTGAAAGCTGAGGTATTTTGGAGGGGAACAGGAGCCACATCTCCATCTATACCTCTAAGTCCTGCCCAAGCCAGTACCAGGCCAAGGCCTCAAACATCCATCCAGCTGTGGCCTCCTGCTGCAGGTGAGGAGTGGGCAGCCGGGAGGGCAGTGGCACCTGCTCTGTTCTCATCCCTGTCTCTCTGTGTCTCGGGCTCATTAGGGCTTGTCCAGGTGGGGTGAGTTAGGAATCACATGTGGAGTGCTGAGGGCCTAGATGATCACAGCCTCAGAGGGAGCAAATAGTAAAAGCAGCTTTGATCTGGGAAGGGCTAGAAACTGGAGAGGAATCCGAGCCCTAGTCCCCTCCTCTCTGCATCTGTCTCCCCTGTTTCTCCAGCCATCATGAGGACACCAAGGAAAAGACCCACAAGGTTCAGACTGGGGTCCCTGCCTGTGCAGCACCTTGAAGACACCCTTGTAACAGGGAGGATCCTGAGTGCACACGGCTGTCTCTGTCCACTTTGCAGCTCCCCATGTGCCTCCTCTGGGAGCTGTCTCCAGGGTGTTGTGTCCTCTGGGTCACTCAAGTCCATGTTTTTTCCAAGTTCCCACCACATGGCCTTGCCTCCCTGAGTTCCCTTGCACATAAAATGAACGAGTAGATAAGCAGATGTCTCTGGGCCATTTGGGGAGCGGGGCTCAAGCCCTTGTCAGGGCAGATGTGGTCCCTGTTTCATCCTACCTCTAGGTGTTCCCTTGTCCAGGCCCTGAAGGACGCAGTCCCTCGGGAACACTTGCTCAGGGCCCACGTTTTGGCTTTGTTCTCTGCTCTGTGGCCTCACCTTGCCCTCCCGGAGCCAATTCCCCTTTCTCTAGGTGGTCACTTCCTTGGAAACTTGGAGGAGGAGATGGTCAGGATGATTTCCCCACAGTGAGGGGAAAGTGAAAGAGAAATAGGAAGTTTTGTGTTTCTGCAAAGACAGAGGCAGTGCAGGGGACAGTGAAAAACCCAGGAGACTGAGTCTTTCTGTAATTTCCCAACTTCACTGTGCCTGGCAGGGGGTGGTGGTTTCTCATCATTGAACCAGATTGCACTGTCAGTCAGCCCCTCAGACAGCAGGGGCAGTGCAGGTCTGTGGTCGCTCCTGCTCTCACCTGCGGTGTCTCTTATAGAGAAATTGTCAGTTCTAGTTCCCTGTGAACAGGAAAATTTTCCTTGTAGGTCACTGAGGCATTGGCCAGGAAAAGGGTGTAAAAGTCATGTACTAATTTCTTTAAAATTCTGCTTTAAATGTTGATGTCCAGTGAAGATGTTCACAATTTCTGCTGGATAAACCTTAATAGGAGTTCCTCTAATACTGATGTTATAAAGCCTATTAAATGAAATGGGAAGTCAAACTTCAAGCTCCCTCTCCAGGAGGGTCCATTTTGGAGATGGTGGCTGTGGCAGTGGCAATCCCGGAGTGCGGAGGGTGGGTGGAGGCAGGCTCAGGCTGAGGGGTCTCCAGAAACCCCCTACTCCACAGCAAGAAAAAGATTCCCTGTGGGCTGCGAGGGCAGTGACGTGAGT